AATCAAATCAAAAATTCATGTACATCAATGAGATTTTAGTTTTTGCGAAAGAAGCGCTACAGTATAGACGGAACACGGTTGCGCTGTGTTGATGTAGTGCAGTCGAATTATTCCATGATGCTCTGAAGGAGAAAAAGTTACTTCAACTAGTCTGATCTGCGATGAAACCAAGCGTTCGGACGCATTTGGTTTTAATAATCTCCTGAGGAAGAAGGAGCTTGACATGACTCATACAACATGCAGCTGTTTCTGTTAGGGTTGCTATTTTCAGACTGCAGTCAACTATGAACTTATACAGCATGCTTTCCTCATGTTCTCAGTGCACAGTAATGGGAAATAGTCTAGTACAATATCTTACTCAAAATCGCCTTATGACGGAAAAAAATGTCAAATGTGTGGGAGTGTGCAGCTTTTATATAGTTGAAGTAATTGGAGCCATTTAAAATGTATAAGGCGATAATGAGCACAACACATTCCTGTGTAAAAAAAAAAATTGGCTTACAAAAATAGCAGGCAATAAAAGTGAAATCATTTTAATTCAGAATCGATTTTGAATTAAGCTGTGAGCCGAAGAATTAAAACCGAATCGCGAAATTTCAATAATATGAGATGAGATTAGCCTTTATTCATCCCCAGAGATTGCAGGTGTTGCAGCAGCACGGGGACAGAAGTAATTAGAGATAAGAAAGTATAAAAAGGAAAATTTGGAGGTAGTATGTATAAAATCTGTGGGTATGTCTTTTGCATGTCTCTAAAGCAAGTCATCCAATCTAGGAATTCTTGGCATTTAGCCTGTGTATTGCTCGAGACCCAAGGAAGTGCAGTGTCAGTTTGGAGTAATTTGGACACGTGTCAATATTGATAAACGTTGAATAAACAAGCATGCAGCGCACACGTGTTCTCAATTGTCGTCTGCAGGCGGCGGCTCATTGACTGCGGCTCACTTTTGCTGCTGGATGCTGAATATAGCGTGCTAGAATCAAAGCTAACGCTACATTGATTCTGCAACCGAACTTTTCTTCACTTGGAGTCAAGGAGCACGACGGGATAGTCCCGACCCTCGGTGGAATAAATGATCTTCAATCTTATGTCATAATATATTTTGTCAGTAAAATCTTAATCTGCAATGTTACCAATAGGCGTACCGTCTCCCCGTCAGGTAAACATTTTAGTGTGATGTTTTCCTCTGTAGTAGAAGTACACAGTAAGTAGTAACCCAGTTGAGTTGCATATATTTTTACGTGGTTTCGGGGCCTTTTGTAAGTTATTTTTCGGTACAATGACCTGGAGTAAATCAATAATTTTCACATCTAGACATCACAATAAATCTATAGCTGTTTGAGGCCCTTTTAGTTGGGGGCCTCAGGCAGTTTCACACTTTACCTAATGTAAAAGTCTTGGTTTTTTGTACCTGTGAACCAGTGTATTTCACAGATTTTTCTGTCTGTGACTCTGTCTGTATTTCACCTGTTTCTGACACTAGCTGCGACTTTGGTGTTTTTTTCCCCCCCGTGAACCAGAGTGTGTTTCACCTGTGTTTCTAAGTAGCCGCAAGTGGGTGTGTGACAGAACTATGTCATGACAGGTGCATTGCTGAGGAGCCAAGGAAGCACACTGTCGAGTGTGAGGTTGTTTGTATGAAGGATTCTCGAGAAAGCTGCAAGCAGCAACACCACAAGCCCAGCATTCAGCCCGTTCTGAACTGGCAGGTTTTGCACGGACGCTGTAAAAAAAAACAACTTTTAGAAATACAAATAAGAACTATATTAGACCAATTAAAATCGTGGTGGTGTGGTCGTGTGAAAGTAGTAGCAGCAAATTAAGCAAGGTATAGTATATGTTAACAGCATAATGACATGATAGACTATTTTTGGAATCTGTCAGAACTTTTCAAAAACTTCAACAAACACATGTAAACAGAACCGAGTGATTCAGCGAGGTTGACAAGGCGTCTGCAGAAACCTGCATGTGTGTATATTATGAGCCATGCATGTTACGTGCACGCTCATTTTTCTCTGGATAGCTGTCTAGTAAGTGTTCAGTGTGTGTGTGTGTTTATGTGTGTGTGAGTTTGTGTGTACTGTATGTGTGTTAAGTAAGGACACCATCTGCCATCATCTTTGCTTTGTGCCAACCCCCCACCCCTATTAACCCACACCCATGCTCACATACACAAAATCCTTCAGTTTGACAAAGAAAAAAATCTCGCTACGGGTATATGAGAGAGAGAGCGAGAGAGAGAGAGAGAGAGCGAGAGAGAGAGAGAGAGAGAGAGAGAGAGAGAGAGAAATGCATAACATGCTGGAAGAAGAGTGGGTTATGCACGGAGCACTGTAATTGCTAAAGGTGATGAATAAAAATTCCAAAGATTGAGCAAAAAGGTATACTTGGTATACTTGTTTTTCAGCCCCTGAAATGTAGCACTCACATTAGACAGAAACTTGCATATTTGCTTGTACATCACACACACATTGTCACACACGTACACACACAAAAATATAGAAATACAATTACTTACACACTTGCACACACACACAAAGTGGATTTTGGAATAATGCCTTGTTTTTTTCTGGACTGCCCTAGATTAATTTGGCATCTGTGCTGCACACTCATCTCTCTCTCTCTCTCTCTCTCTCTCTCTCTCTCCCTCTATGTTGTTATCACTCTGCTTTCCCTTTTACACACACACACACACACACACACACACACACACACACACACACACACACACACTTACACTTTCCATCGCCCTCTTTTTCTGTAGCCTGCCTCTCGTCTTGAATCTCTCCCTCTTTCCCTCTCTTCACCCGTTGTTTTCTGTGTCTCTCTCCTTCTCTTAGTACAGACTGCTAAGATCTGGGTATAAATATTATAGCTTTGTCAACCACTCGCAGAGAGACAGTATCTCTATTGCCCCTGTGTGTGTGTTAGAGTGTGCATGTGTGTGTGTGTGTGTGTGTGTGTGTGTGTGTGTCTAGGCACAGTTTAGTTGGATGAGTATACCTGACAGTATGTTCTACTGAAGCATCTGTTCTCAGTGTGCCACGGCCTATAGGAACTGAATGTTTCAATGTCTGGCCCAGCAGAATGTGTCCAGAATCAGCTTGATTTTAAGTTCTGAAGCAGAATGTTTATTAATAGTACAGAGAGCAAAGCAATGTTCATACCAACCTGACCTAACCTTTGCCTTAGTATAGCCAAAATAGTTCACCCTGAACCAAAATAATGACTGCAAATACACACCCACAGAATCAACACAAAGCCTTAAGCCTCTGTTTTACTCTCTGCAAGGAAGGCTGCACGGACATGAGCTGACACGGAATATTGATATGAAAACTTTGCTCTCCCAATCTGCGTAGCTAGAAAATATTGCTTTGGCACACAGACAGAAAAGAACCCCCATGAAGGGACGTGTCTAATGGTGGGACTTGTGATTGTTGTTCATTTTGATCAAAAACACAAATCAATTACTTGGACTGCCATGGCACAAGTACCTCAAAATTGTACTTAAGCACAGTACTTGAGTAGATGTACTGTTGCACTGATAGACAGACAGGTGGTGGGAGGGCAGACTCATTCTGTTTGTTCCAGGGGATTAGAGGTTAGAAACACATCCTAACCTACAGCCTGCAGACACACATCTGCACTCAGGAGCTGCTTTTAGTATGCCCACAGATTTCTTAATACAAACTCAGTAAACTCTGACAGTGTGTTTATGTGTGTACCTTCATTCATGTCTGAAAAGTAAAAAAAAAAAAAAAAAAAAACACCTTTAAAGTTTTTCCCATTCAGGTTCCTTCAGATGCTGTGTGATGCTTAGTCAGCTTCTCAGGCGGAGAGTCTCGAGTCATGGAGGCTCAAATGTAGAAATACGCTGTTGGCTTGGAGTGATCGATAGTCAAACAAATGCTACCTCTCCCCACGGTCAATACTAATATTGATTGCTGTACATCCTCTGTTAAAACATGCCAAGGAAGGTTCATTTGTTCTTCTTTTTCATTTTCCAGCACCTTTTTTAAAACTTACGTTACTGCAGTTTTACTGGTCTGTAGTTACGGCAGATCTGAACACACTGACACAGACACACTGCAGGCCCCAAACACAAGCAGACATATGCTGTGTAATGTGCATAAACCTAAGCCAAATACACACCACATTGCACGCATAACCACAGTGACACACACAAATATGTGCACACACACACACACACACACACACACACACACACACACACAAACACCATCTACACTCCTCTTCACACCTCTAGGGGTTCAAATGATTTCACAAATGCTCACACTTAATCCACCAGCCAGGCGACGAAAGCTTAGATGAGTATGCGTGATAATGTGCGTGTGGCACAGCGCTGTGGTCGGTATCCGAAAATCAGCACTCTTTTATTCATAAGTAAAAGGTTGTGATAATTTACGTCCTGTACTTTAAATCTTTGTTAACAGCTAACATCAAATAAATACAAATTGAAATGTGAATGTGTTGTCCTTGAGAGACTCAATGAGTCGGGAAGACAATGTACTCAGGATTTTTTATCTTCTAAGAGAGTTCTTGTTTTTGTTCTCTTAAAATAAAACTGGCTTGAGGTACCGGGCTTGTCAGTGTACATATATGAAGACATGTTCTTTCGGATGAATCCTTACAGTAATACAGAGGATGACTTAACCGTTGATGTATCAGTAACAGCCCACACCTGCGGTAGCCTCAGCCTAAAGCAGACAATCTAAGTCACAAATTACATTAATGTCACTGCAGAAGAAATAACTTATCAAGATTAACAAACATACTATTTTCAGGCACAGATAATTGCCCAGCTTTCACAAACAAATAGTTATTCCAAGACTGTCACTTGTGTTGAAGAAAATCATCATATAATTTAGGATTGAACTGAAGTAAACAGTTTATATAACGTGTAATGTAAAACACATTCTGGTTCATAAAAACATTCTTAGGAAGCGATCAGGGGGCGCCAGACAAATTGTAATAAATATCTCCATTTTGTATCAAAACATTTCCCGTACATGAATCGTGTGTTCTGCCAAAAGGTTGAGCCAAACGGAAGTCATGAGAACATGACATAATGAAGAGACCAGATGTGCTTTGTTGTTGGTTCAACGGACTGGTTTGATTGGTGGAAACTGGCTTAAAGGGGGGTGAAGTTTGACTATAAAAGTCATCTGTGAAAAGTAATACTTTGGATTTGTTCGGATTTGCTAAACTCGTTGTATGTTGGGCGTGAGCTTATTAAAACACTTCCCGCTGGTTGCAACTTCAATTCGCCGTCTCTTCTCGTCATTTTGCCACAACACTTGGAAACTAAACCACAGATTCCTTTGTTACACGATTGTTTCAGCTGCGACAAAAGAGATAAGAGATTATTTCTCTAATGCAACATCCCCCGAAAATATCACACAATCTCCAGATGTGAATGCATGGATAGCAGAGTAAAGTGGAAAACAGCTGACTAAAACAAAACATGTATTCTTCTTTGCCTGAATTTAGTATAAAAACAATGAATATTTCCTCTCTATAACTGATATAATGGTTGCAATCAGATCTCTCTTTTTTTTCGATGTATGCTATTAACTTAAACCCCAAAAAATAATAACTTTTACTTGACATTATTTATTTGCTATTACCAAATTATTATCCATCTATTATTATTTTCAACGTAAAGAACTGTGACAAAACAAAACCATTGTTTAGCTGCATCATCAGAGGCTGAAGGTGAAGGGAGGCCCTTAGTCTCTGCCAAAAGATTTGACTTATGGTATCTGTCATTTATGTATGTATGACATGTGTCCTCTTAGCTATAGCTTGTTACCCAGCCATTTATAACCAGTCATTCAGGAATAATCTGTGGTCTTCGCTGTGAGTGTGAGACTTAGAGCTGCGTGCCGTCACCATGGCTAACATTAAGCTATAGCTGCCGTTAAATACCGTCAAAATGCAGGCTGGCTGCTTGTTAAACCATGATATCATGTTTTCTAGTTCTGCACGTGTTAAATACAGAATACTGTATGTGGGTGTGTGGAGGATCTGGATTTCTCTAAAGGCACTTAACGACGGCAATGCAATGAGCAACCAATTACTTTTGCTTTTGAGGAATTAGTAAAGTATGTGCTGTGGCGATTACATTATGTCCAACACTAATATACTTAGCCATCTAAGTGGATGCTTCTGTCATAATAGCACAGCGGACCCTGACCTTATTTTACTGTTGTTTTCTGTTTTTGGGGTGAAAATAAAATTATAAAAGAAAAACCAATCGAACCTTGTCCTGACAGCATCACCACCCCTCAGAGATTTGTTATTCACCCCCCTAGAGAGGTAGAAAACCTTTGGTTTATGTTCACAGGCATAGCTGACAACATGAATGGTTACTACTCATTTATGCAGCACACTGAGGAGAGCTTTGTAAGACTTGGGCTGTTTGCCTTCCAAAAAGTTCTATAAACATAAACATGCCAGCATCAGGAAAAACAAATCTTCATGTGTGTGTATGTCCCTACGCTGCATTGTGTTCTAGATTTATCTAAGGCATATCCCAGCATGCATTACACTCCAGCAATACGCTCGCCCAACCACATTAAACATGTATGGATACACATACAAGAACATCCACACAGACATACATTATTTTTTTATGTACTTACAACCATATACTTATCAAACCTGAGGGGGAAACAATTCATTGCTCTCCATTGACTTTGTATTGTGTGAAGGACTTTCGTCTGCTAACAAACACCAGAAAAATGCCTAAAAGCTGCTGGATGGTGGGATGCACTACCAACAGAGTAAAAAAAAAAACAGAATTAAGTTTCTATAGGCTCCTGAACTCCTCTTTGTGTTATAGTGGAATGTGGATACATCAGAAAGCTATGCAGTAATGTGTTTGCAATTGCCTTGGCTAGCTACAGTAGCCTGCTAACACATAGCAAAGATTAGCTTACTAACAGCTAATTTGTCCTATACCACTATCATTGTTATCAACTGCACCCTTGGTAGACATATGGTGCTAAAATATTCCTTTGAAATGCTGAAACCGAATATTTTTAGCTAGCCACAGGCGTTTCTTAGTGTTTCAGCCCTTGGTTGCATATTGTGGCGGTGGTTGTTTTCTCCTCCGCTGGGCATGGTGTCCACAATATGATGCGTTGTGCTCTGTCTCTATGAATCAGACTGATGATTCAGCAGACTACCTTGAGGAAGAAGAGATGCATGCAAAAGCACACTTCAACACACACAAGCCTGCAAAAAGTATGAAAAACATCTGTCTGCAGCAGTTTCCGATGTGAAGTTTGTTATCTTTTGGCAGATTAATCTTTATCATTGATGCTCTTTTTGTCTTCCTATTCGCTCTCTCTTCCCTCTCTCTCTCTTTCCGTCTCACCCAGCCTCCAGCTCTGCAGTTAGGAGCATCGGTGGCAGATTTTGCCTGGCAGTGCTAAGGACACATGCGCCTTGAAGGAAAGACAGATGGGTGGGCAATGGAGATAGACAGTATTTGTTGGAGCCTCAGTTTCAGTCCTCCCTCCTTTCCAGTCCTCCCACTTTATGGACATTATACCACAAGAAAGTTATTTTTATACTGTCAGTTTACCAGCTCCCTCCTCCCAAATAATAAATACGTAATTGGAATAGGCTAATTTAGCTGTGTTGGTGAATTACAGCAATGTTGCGGTGTCTTGGTATGCTGTTCTTCTGGTGATAATTGAAAACAGTAATGCAGACTGTTTATTCATAATTTATTTTTAATGAAACTGGCCTCATTTCAACTGACTGTCTCGTATACAAAGTGAGTTTTGTGAAGCGAGCAGTGACACATTTACCAGATGGGCGCTCCTTCTCCACCGTTAGCTCACTTGGCCCACCTGCTTTCTAAGACTTTGTGACATCACCTTGGTTCTCGAATCACACACCTGCTCTCCTCAGATTGAGAAACCTTTGTCTTCGTTGGCGGCCTCAATGTCTTTACAGAGGGTTTATTAAAACAATTGAATAGTGTTGACTGTTTTCGCCCCATAGCGCCTGGTTATGAGCATGCACACATAGAAGCGACTGCTATTTTATAAGGTGTGTTGAGTGGATGGAGTGCACTTCTGGTTGAACTCAATCTCAGAAGTCAATGGCTATTGGTCAAATGACCGATAACTCTCTGGTGGCTGGATTATTTCACAAATAGCCAATAAGCTAATGTTAAGATAATAAAAAGCTTGCATTTCGGCCAATGCGTTCCGCCTGCACCAAAGTCTGCTCTGTCAGAATCTGTTTACAGAGCTTAGGTTGAACCAAACATATCAATTTGATAACATAAGTTTGCTAAGAGCATCATTACAAATATTGATTCTGTTAGGCCGAACAGGAAACTGTATGTTGGCATAGAGTGTGCTTCATAGCATGCAGTAAAAATAAGTATAACAGAATGTTTCAAATTCTTTGTGAACTGCCTTCTTGTCCTGATGATCTCACAAAGATCATGCAGGATGAGGCATTACAATTGGATGTTTGCATAATCAAATTACAAATGGGAATCCAGATGAACACCACACAACTGCCTGATGTTGTTATTTATTCATGTGTAAAGGAGATTTCCTGCTACATTATTTGCCTGTTGAGTACAGATTAGAATATAACTTTGTATGCAGCAAAGTGGAAGCATTTCAGGCATAATTAGGTATCTTTCACTGCTCTTTCAACCCACCACGAGATAATATACAGTGAGATCCAAGCTTGCATCTGGATGCAATGCGTCATATCTTCATGCACTCTGTCAAGATAATTAAGAGATGTTTGCATGCTAAGATACAGATGGAGAAGTCAAGACTTTCTCATGCTCAAGAAATGATTTGTCTGAAATTAGTAACACAAGTGCGGCAAAGCATAGCAGATGTAAGCGGCTCAGAGCATACAGCTGACTGCAGACTCATAATATTACTCACAAGATTTTGAACACGCCAAAGCAACGGGGGAAAGGCCTTAACATTTCATGATTTCTTCATAGTCATGGAATAGTGAGGCACATTGCACACCTGAAGTAATGCTGATAAGAATTAAGTGTAATGACCACTGTGCACCCGTCTACAGGGAATAATGCTCGCCTTATGTAACAGCAGGCCCGGCCTGGAGCATACTAGTGTCCATTTTAGATTTGAACTGATCATCCATGGTGCTGGGTCCTCTTCTCTAATTACTTCTTCCTTTCTCCATAACACTCAAATTATATTCCATGCTGTGAGAGAGATGCCTTTGTATATATATGCAGAATGCTTGTGTCACTCTGTGTGAGACTGCTGAAGTGAGCAGTATGTGGGATTTAAAGATAAAGATGTCAGAGAGGCACAGAGCCGTTAGGGACAACCGAAACCAACCTGAACACACATTCAAATGTTTCAGTAAATGGCTCTGACAGGCTGAATATTCAACCAATCACTATACGGGTTATTTAATACAGTAGTTGTGACAGTCATGCAAAGTACAGGAATGAATGTTTAAAGATCGTTTTACTGTAAATGATGCTTTGCTGGGTTGGCTCTGACATTCATTTCCTCTCTAATTGCTGCTCTGAACTGCAGTTAGAATGAAGTCCAGAGTACTTTCTCTTTGTCCAGTCTGCCAGTCCCCCCTTCTTTGACATATACTAAACATTAAAGTGCTTAATTTCAGTTGAAAAAAAATCTATACAAATATATACAGTATGTATACAGTATATAGACAGTGATCATCACTGTGATAAAAAAGACGACAAATATCAAGCATTTTGTGTGACTGTTGAACAGAATGAGTAGGGTTACAATTGAAGTTTGTCCTGACTACGTCGCTTCAGGCAAGGCCATGTGGTAACAAAATACAATGGAGTCACTTGGAGTGTCCACAGTCTAAAGGTTTTATTCTCTGGAGTGCATCAATTTGCTCTTTAATTTCTTGGCAGATTCAGATCAGACCTCCTGTGCACAGATGGGATTTGTTGCCTCGACAGTTAAAGGTCACAGGGTTCGCCTAAAATGCGAGACTTCATTCTTCAGGGAGCGCAAATATCCCCATCAGATTGAAAATAAATCTGACAATTACATTTCAACATCTTGGATGGAAATATGACAGTTTGACCTGAGGGTAACCTCAGAGGAAAACTCTTGGATTTAAAAAAAATTTAAATGGTTCAAGTGTGAATTTGCAGTACATTTGGGCAATGTCCATTCTGACAGCCCTAGTACGGTCCTTTAAGACGAAACTTCCCGAGGAAATCCATATTGACCCCTGTCACAGATGAGATAACATTTGTTTTCTTTAATGATATTTTTAGAGTCATATTATGAAGTAGGGGTGAAAAAAATAATGTGAACACCACAAACAAGTAGGCCTCAAGTTTGCTCCAATTTGATCAGTGCTTTTATTCTCGTGAAGGTTATTTTGCTGAGCAAATATGCAACACTGAAACATGCAAGTTTTTAATGAGGTCTGGTTCTGTGCGTCTTCTCTTAGTCTAGAATATTTTAGTTTCAGCTTGTTTCTGTTGTGACAGAGCACACTGGGGAGACACTTCTAATCTGTGTCAGTAGTAAGCTTGAACTCTTGTGTGTCTGCCATAGAAGCGCATGTGTTTGTTTTAGTGTCTGCAGGGTGCACGCAAAACATGCTCCGAGTGTGCGCTCGTGTCACTTGTTAGTATAGTTTGCCCGTGAGTGAACGCTCATATGATGTGTGTTTTCCTTGGTGTGTGTGTGTGTGTGTGTGTGTGTGTGTGTGTTTTCATGAGGCGTGCGCTCTTGCTTCTCACACGCATATGTCTACTTACTGTGCCAAGTCATGATCAAGTGTAATGCAGCGCTCTTTCTCCATTTAACTTGTGAGGGAGCAGCAGGACCGGCCCAGTATTACTGCTGAAAATGAGATGTCACGCTCGGCCAGGCTCACCCTAACTGATTTAGGCTGTCTGCGTGGGTATGCCTGTGCTTGTGTGTGTGTGTGTCAGGGAGAGGGTGAATGCGCTGAAAGGAGAGAGAACAAGAGGGAAATAGACAGATAAAGAGAGGCAGAGAGAGAGAGAGAGAGAGAGAGAGAGAGATAGAAAAGGGAGCCATGTATGTCAGTTTCTTTGACAGTTATTTGCACAAATTATTCTTCGGCAGGCAGTATGTTGTGTACTGACGGCTTGAGGTGTGATGTGACAGGTGTCCTGCTCCGCGACTGAAACGGGAAGATAGGTAACATCTCATTATATATAGTAGCACTTATAAACTATCTGTCACCATACCTTCTGATGCATCATCAGCCATTATTATCATCATTATTGTCTTCCCGCTTGTCTGCTCTGGTGACGTTAATTCAAGTGAACCGCAGCAGCTGAAATGTATAGAGAGAGAAAGTAAGTGTGAGAAAAAGAAAAGAGGACAAATGGAGCAAGAGTAACAAATAGACTGGTGAAAGGCATAGATAGATAGATAGAGAGGTAGATAGGAAGATACATAGCAGCAGTATTATTTCTCATGTTTCTCTTCACAGTGTTGATGCAGCGAAGAATCAGTATGCTTCTGAAAATCTTCTCTCCGTTCTTATTCTCTCACCTTTTTCTCTCCGTCTGACTGTAGTCTCAACTCAAGTATTTTCCTCCACATAGCATTTTTTTATTATTATTTTGAAATCCTGTAGTGCTGAGTGATGCATTATTTACAGTTATTTTTTAATGTGTCTCTAGATCTATTTTACCAGAAGGTTTTCCTTTTGAACACTAAATATACGGAAGACATTTAGGCAACATTTTAAACGTTATTATTAGCATGATTGCCAAAACTCAGATTGGTTTGTTAATGTAAATGGAGGTAATGAACAAATTGCTTGTCAGTTTAATGAAGTAAGCGACTGTACATGAGCATTTATTTTAGCCATTAACTCTTCATGAATTACAAATGCAAATGAAACAATAAGGAATGATCATTTATTTTGATTGCAAAATTCCCAGTGATGTTAAATTCTTCTAGTTTTTCATCTTTTTATTTGTATTTTTCTTAATTTCAGCCGCAGGCCCCGTTTGGTCTCCTGTAGCGCCGGCAGAACCACAGAGGACCTGAGCCAAGTACAAGAAGAGCAAAAGAACCAGCTGCTTGTATCAGAAGCAGCTTCCCTCATCAGAAGGCTTTCATAGAGGACACACAGCACAGCAGAGTGGCCAGAAAGGAGCACTCTTGTGTCCGGATAAAGAAAGCTGAAGAGTGAGAGGAGGCAACAAAGAGAGGCAACAGGTTAGAGATTATTTTTGTTTTATTATCATTTTTTTTTTCTTATTGCATATTACTGTTTCAAAAACGAGACCCACTTTTTCGAAGCTCTACACACAAAAACAAAAACGTATACACAAAACACAAAATATCTTACGCAAACACTTCATTTAAAACTATATAACCTCTTCTAATAATTGTACTTTCTGCATCACTAACCCTAACCCTAACTTATAATACTTATAATATTTTTTATTTCCAATGCTCATACCAGTATAAGACACAATTACTTTAACTGAAGACGACACACGCATAGTTACTGTAATGCACTGTGAATAAAATACAGGATGTTGTAATTACAGTCCTCCAACTCTCTCTCCAAAATCGGTCTCCATTGTTGTGCACAGCAAAGAGCAAACCTAAATCCTACTTACAGTGTTGGAGCTGTGATCTCTAAGGTCTAATTGGATACAGGTGTTTCTGCAAGTGCATTCTGGGTGCAAGTGTGGTATTTCAATGATGCGTGTTAGCAAACCACACTTTGGTTTTAGCTGTGAATGACGTGTCTAATGTAGATAACTCTGTGTAGTTACTTACATCAAGTGTGTTTGAGAATTTAAACTCAGCGTAAAGCAGGCAATGTGTTTATGGTTCAGCATACCTCGTCAAAAGTTTTGTTAGAGTCACTGGTCTCAATAATTGGCAATTGCCGAAAGCTGTAAGATGAGGTTTCTTAGAGTTTTTCATTAACACTAACTCCTGATGGCTTCAAATCAGTTTCTTTGAGTCAGTCACCACATGTTTGTGTATGTCTGACCTTTCTCTACCTGTAGTGTCACACACACACACACACACACGCACACACACAGCGATGATATAATCTAACGCACATCCATCGACAGAAATTGACACCTCACTGTTTACAACACATGTGCTCTGCTTTAACAATAGCCTGAATATTCTAGTGAGTCCGCATGTGTCTGTTTGCATGCATGTGTCATGGACATGACTTCACACAAGTGTATGTGCAGTGCACGAGTATGTGTGAAGCTTTTGGTGTACAGTTAAGCACTGTAGTGAAAGCATTAGTTAGTGTCTTCACAGGTATATATTATGTCATCTCCCCTGCTTTTATTGCAATTATTTTACTGGCAACACTGTCATTAGTGCTGACAGTACTTCTCTTTACACAGCTATTAAACTCTGCCTGTGTGCACATGTGAGTGTGCTGTGTGTGTCAGGCAGAGATAGAGTAAAAGAAGTAATTGTTGTAATTATTGCGTCTCCGCTCTATCCCGGCCTGTGCCGGCGCTGAGGAAATCAGAGCGAACTCAACTTCCTTCTTGTTCTTATTGTGGTTCTTATTATTGTTATTATTGTCGTCAGTGTCCCTGACAATAGCATGTTGTTTAATCCACACCAAAGGAAAACAAAACTCAAACCAAGAATACCATACCCAAGAATTTGTATTTTATATTGTTCAAGAAGTATAAACAAGTATTGATACTTTGTTATAAGAATACAAAATATTGTTCAAATGTAGCGTTCACTTAAGGGCATCTGATTCAGAACACAAACATATTTGTGCGTCAAAATATCAAAATAAGGCATCAACAGGGTAAGGGCTTAGTTGAAAAAGTAAATACATGGAAACAAAGAGAAGTCTAGGCTTAGACAAAGAATACAAAATAAAGCGTTTATCAGGCTTGTGCTGATTGGTGATTGGATTGTAGATCCACGATTGAAGGGATGATCCATTATTTCTTTCCAGGGCCAAGATCAAGGCAAACTTATTTAACTTAGTATCAGAGCTAAGATGTTATTAAAATAAACTCTGGAATTATTTGGAGATGTTTCTGGTGAAGCAGCATGTCGGCCTGCTGAGCCCCATTACTCAACAAGAGCGAGGAGTGCATTTTAGATCCTTAATTACAAATGTTTTCCATTGTTCTGACATCCTGCATCTTCATTCTTTTTGCTCTGCATGCCATGAAAAACATAAAATTGCTTCCAAAGTTTTGTCACATTATGGTTGTGAATTGAATAGATAATAAATATATAAGTTGTCATGAACACAGTTATGCTCATCTAATTAAATACAGTGGTAGACTATAACAAAACAATGGAGAGCCGATGCAGCAGTGCCAGTGATGTTTAACTGACGTCTCTTTAAAAAGACGGCTCCCAGGCCAGGATGCCTCATTTTCTTAAATGCCTCGATCCCTCTCTCGAGGACACATGTTGGCATATTGAGTAGCATGACTTGTGTCCTCACATGCACCACCAGTGACTCTGAGCTTGGACCCAGTGTTGTCTCCTCATGAGGAAACCCTCGAATCACAGAGAATAGCTCGTTCTTCCTTCTTTGAAAAGAATCCCCAGCAGCGAATACAAGAATGGCCCCTTCGTTACATCAGCTTTTGGAAGTAATCAGAGTTCCCTAAGGGCTAATATGCTAGCCTTTGTTCAGAACCGCATAGTCCTTAAAAGCTGAAAAGGAAAACCAAAAGCCAAACCCTTATAATTCAATACACAAAATGCAGTAATATGATAGAGATCTCAGGAAAGCCTCATCCAAGGAGACGGACATAAAACAAGCATTTAAACTGGAAGCTCTGTAATGTGTACACATATTACCGTATATATAATACTCTGTAATGTGTACACATAGATAAAGAAATCAGATGTTAGTCCCTTAGTAAATATGATACTTCATGTGTGATGCCAGGTGGTTACGTGTTTCCTATATAATCAGCTGTGACCTGTTGAATCAGTAACTGTGACCCTGTGAAAATGTGAACTGTATGGTACATCCGGCAGTGATACAACTGCTTATTTGAATAAATCCACTTTCCTTTAATGTCTGAAGGCCTTTTCGCCCACTCGTGAAACCCTCTGAGGATGGCACTATCAGTTAGTCAGTCATTTTAAATTGTTTTGCTCCAGACAGGTATAGAAGCCTCAAAGGGCCTCAGAGGGCCCTCTACTGTATAGGGCTTTTTGAGCCTGTCAGGAGAACAAATACAGCTTTCTGACGCCTTTGTGTACCTAACAGCGCAACATAAAACAGCTTCTGACTCACAAACCAACAACAGTGGGTGGAAATGCACTGGATCGCACTGTCCAGTACATCGTGACGCAAATACATCCTTTGCTTTCTTGTTTATTTAAGAAAACAAATTAGCGTGCATTTGAAGACTAAATATTTTGAAACCAAACCTTTCTGAAAGGGTGAGTGCGTTTCAGAAAAATCACGGTTAAATTCTCAAAGCAATTACATTTAAAAGCTACCCCTCTAAGCTGGTACAGGGGGTATTAAGGAGACATAATGCATGCAGTGTAAAATTACCATTATTAGTTGAAGTAATAATGATTGCAGGGAGCTATAGGCACTGACATCATTCCAGGAGCGCCGAGCGGAGAATATTTAGACATTAACATTGTTTCAGTGAACCAACAGAGAAACTATTAACCGTTATAGACTATTAAAGGAGGCAATTATTGACTTACTTGATGAGATTGAGGGAGACATTAAGCCCGTCACTCTAAGATCTCAAAGCCATTAACAGTGTTGTTAAAATTCGCTTAACGCTTCAGGTGTTTGCATACGGCTCCTTCCAGTCACGTGTTGGCTGTGCTCCTGGGATACCGCAGCCGTTCATCGGCATGTGTCAGATGTTTTATGCAGTATTGTTTCTTGGAGAGAATGGGCCCACTTTCCACTAACAAGGCAGGGAGTGGAGGAGACAGGGAACAAGGTTTGCAGGCTTCTCAATTGTTGAAGGTGCTATTGGTGGCAACATTGTCAGAAACAGAAATGTCTGTACGGACGGAAAGGACACAGTGAGGGATATATTGATATGATGAAAAAAGGATTCGGTATTACCATGTTAGGTGATGGTGTCTTCCAGATATTGCCATTAATAATGAGTCCAGTTTGATATCCATCTAATGATAAAAAAGCTTATCTTCATCCTTGCACTTGTACAATTTCATAGTATGTGTGTGCACTGAAAACTAACTGAAATGACGCTGATGTTTTGCTAAGGAGTTGCTAGCTTTCAGTGGCGTTGTATGTTCCATGTTCTGTATGGCTGAACCCATGGTGCCAAACTTAGCAAACAAGTACCTGAAACTGGCAATTCACACAGCAGTTACACAGTCTTGTGATTGCCAGCGGCGTGAATGCCAATGAGGACCAGCCTGTGACAGCAACAGCCTGAGGGGACTGTTGCACTGCGACACAGTGTAGCACACAGTGCTCACCCTTTACATTTATTCTCGTAAGAATTCAATATAACCACAATTTACCATTCAGTCAATAATCAAAGCTGCATTCTTTGATTAAAGGCACTTTGAAACCAATTTTCGACAGGGTGAAATAGCTTCCTCGCAGTATTGAAAGTATATGTTTTTCCATGTTGTGTGTGTTTTGAGGGAAATTCACTTGATTTAATGTTTGTCCATCATCACAAACAGGAGTTTGGTTGTGTGCAGGATTGCGTGTCTTTGTCGCGGCTGTCAAGGTCTATATTTAAGTCTGGCCCGAATGCTTTGAAGCTTTGACTGTTGCCATGGTAATCTACGTCCAAATCAGTACCGGAATGCATCATTTTTTGTTTGTTCTTTGTTTTTAACGCACAAGCCTACCAAGGCTAAAGCCCCATGTCCGCAACAGGATGCTCTGCGTGTAAAAATGCAACGGCAGTGTTTATTAAAAAACAAAAAAGAAAATTAGCAGTTGTACTGAGATCTGTTTCTCTTACTGACTGACTGAAGGTTGAGAGGTTACTGACGCTGGTAGAGACAAGGAGGTTCTCCCCCCCCCGCTCTCTGTGTGTGTGTAAGTGCACATATGCTTGCATTACATGTGAAAGAGATTGATACAGGCCTGTTGGTGTATTCTATGACCTACATACACAACCCAAAAATGGTATTGGGGACGGCCCTCGTCTTTATACATGTGGAACTAAAGCCAGCTGTTCCGACTCTGCTTTGAGATCAGTACATTTCAGTTTAGGTCA